GTCAAACCTGCCCTGACGGCCACCTCTATAAGACGGTCACCTGTACATACGGCCACTTTCCATTTCCCCACTTGCGTTTTTTCTATATAATTTAACTGTGTAAAACGGGCACCTGTCCAACGCGGCCGCGGCCACCATATTTTAACACACAGCCCCTATCACACTAAGCAATTACACCTGTCTTAGACGGCCACCTTAGTGACTCCATTACGTTTTGTCATAACTTTTGCATTGGCCCCTGGCGTTGTGGGCGAGCTGTCATAATTCAATCACTTGTCGATGTTGTTAGGTAGTCCCTCCAACCGATCATGTTGCGTAGGCCCCTCCCACTGTTGACCAATAGCTACCAATTTTCAGCTGCTGGTGAGGTAAGTGTGTGATCCCTCATATAACCCATAAGCCCCGACCAGAATTCATGCGCAAATCTTAAGTGAGATGAGTGGTCACTGTTTACCCAGTCTGTAACAAAGTAACAGAGGACGTCAACATGAAATTGTGACAGAAGCATCGCTCGTTCTCCCAGTGGTGGCGACCCATGTGTTTGTTTTAACATGGCACTCGGTCTTCCTCGTCTGATACATTTCGTTTTATTGTCACCATTGTGCAAAATCAGCAACAAAATAAAAATTACAAACAAAATACAAACCAACAACAACAGCAATTAAGACCACTACAATGCGGCTACTTTCGATTGGGACCTCAGATGGGAATGGTTTGTTTTCTTCATCTTGTTCAGTCCCGCCTAAGACGGCCACCTGTCTTATACGGCCACTTTTCTCCTTGACAATGGGTGGCCGTCTTACACAGGTTTGACTGTATATTTAAAGAGAGAGAAATATATAGCATAATATATATATTATATTATACATATTCTCACTTCTCACCTGTAGTACTCCTCATCACACACACACTGACTCTTGTCAAGGTCACACTCGGCGAAGGCCACACACTGACCCAGGGCAGAACAGTTGCGACCGGCCTTGACCCTCATCTTGCAAAGGTCGTCGAGGTCACGGTAGAAGTCGTCCTCACACTGGCAGGTCCAGCCCTCGGCAGACGAGCAGATGGCGCCCTCTATACACATTCCGAGACCCCAGCATCTGTGGTGTGGGAGAGAGAGAGGGAGAGAGAGAGAGAGAGAGAGAGAGAGAGAGAG